TTTTTTAACTTGGATTATTGAGCATGAATCAGGATTTATCCAAAGAACTACATTTTAATGATTTGACCTGGCACAGCTTTTACAGTTAGTCCGTCACTGAACAAACCTGCTCTGATGCTGCAGAAGACAAGTTAGTCTGAACAGCGTCAACGCAGCGTCTTCACGTGGAACCCTACGACTTCCACAATATAGAAGCTGATGGAATCAGGGTTAATAAAAACAAATCCCTTTAAAACACAAAACATTGTGGAATTTGTCAAAATGTGGACATGAGCTAACCGATCTGTAAAGCGTAAAAAAAACTTATGTTTCCGATAAAAAGGATTGTATTTTGTAGGGCTCAGGTATTTCCCCATGTTGCAAAGAGCCGGCGGAAAAAAGGCTCATCGTAAGGATAGAAACTGCAACAAGGACACACAAAAAAAATAAAAAATTAGCAACAGAATCAGAACAATTGTACTGTAAGATTTGTCAGCACGAAAAAAATGCAATGTGTCGACCCAAACGATCAACGAGAGCATTGAACAATTCAAATTACTTCAATAAAGTTCCATCTTATCTTACAGGTCGACAAACTGTTACACAGCAATCTATAAGTGGACAAGCAGACTGTACATCATGACCGTGACCTGGGATGAAGAAGTGTTCAGAACTCTCCATCTAGCGATGCTGCAGAAGTGTTTTGAAGTTTCGTTACATCATCTTGAGCAGATCAGAAGTTATAGGCGGGACAAAAGAAAACCACCTGTTAGTTTAATTTGAGGAGTTTGTAGCTGCTGTAGAACTGAAATAAATAAATAGATTTGTTTTAGGTGAAGATCAGATAACTTGTGTGGTTAAATTAAATTAAGTTTTTCTAGGAAAAAACGCCAAGAAAAATACAGAAACTTGAAATCCTGATTGTCTTGGTTATTTTTATCCTTTTAGGTCAAACAGGACAATTACGACAGTTTACACTGAATTTTACATTATTATTGTAAAGTTGTATGTTGTTGCATTCATGCCTTTGATTCTTTTTACAAAAGGTTTTTTGTTGCCCTCATGAAACACATGAAGAGCTTTACTTTATAATAAAAGTGTGTGAAGTGTGTATTTATGAACTGACTTACAGGCAGGTTTTCAAGCACTTCTTTCCCAGGTGAACTCAAACACTTAACTGGACTTTTGTTGTCAGTATTAACAATTTGATGTTTTCTTATTGAATGATTTCAGTTTTATTCATCAACCACATGATTAGATACCCACTTCTTCCTTTTTGGGTCACGGGCGTCGCTGGTGCTCATATCCAGCAGTCACTGCCCAAGAGGTGGGGGACACCCTGGACAGGTCTCCAGTCCATCACAGGGACACAAAGACAAACGAGACAACCATTCACTCTCTCACCTAGGGACAATTTAGAGTTACCAATGCATGTTTTTGGTCTGTGGGATGAAACCGGAGTACCTGTAGAAAACCCACGCATGCACCGAGAGAACATGCAACCTCCACCCAGAATGACCCCAGGCTTGGACTTGGTCCGGCGAGCCTTCTTGTTAAGAGGGAGCAGCTCTACCAACTGCGCCACCAAGAAATAAACCAAAATAAATAAAGAACAAAAAAAGTATATTGGTAAAAAAATAAAAATCATCTCAGCGAGGCTCTAGAGGAGCCATGTCATGCTCAGAACCGAGTCATAATTTCATTATAATCCCATCTCTGAGAAGATCAAAAACCCCAGGACCAGTCTAGATAAATATCTAACAACTGTTCAGATATGTCCAGCTCCTGTGTGTGTACAGCAGAGCATAGTGAAGACCATACGGTGTGTGCGGCAGGTAGGCTGGTGCTCAGAAAGACGGGCATTGTGGTTTAGGGCCTGGCGTGGATTTAAGCCACTTGGGGCTAACAGGATTAGGAGGCAGGTTACTGACGGGACACGGAGGCCAACGTTCTGCTTAGAGACAGAAAGCACCGACCATCTGCATATTTTAAAACATAATTTGGTTCCAGGAGTTACAACCAGACCAGGAACGCTGCGTCCTCACGAGCACACTTGTCCACCTTGCAACAGCAGCCAATCTGGCACGTACCCAAGCCCCACAGCTCATTGACATGCATTTGGGAGTATGATGGGCTGCATGTGGGAGGAACGGTCAAAGGTCTGAGCTGCAGGTGTGTGGAGAGGATGGATTCTGAAACATTATTCCCTGTGATGCATCACAGCAGCTCAAACAGACTGCATAAAATTACAGGTGGACACGTTAATCTGTTGACTTCCATGATGTGTCAGATCTTTAACACATCACATCTGAGCTTGTTGCCAAAATAAACCAAGTAAAAATTAAATAAATTTGGACATTTCCTTAAAATGAGACAGAACAACTATAGGAACAACACAACAAACTTGAGAAACAGCTGGCTTAAAGCCAAGATATTTGTAAAGAATTTAACTTTTTCCTCACAAACCCAACTTTTATACTTTTAGACATTTGTTATGATGTGTATACCATGACAACAAGGTGGTTTTCTACAACTGGGAGCAGCTGATTAACATCTCAAAAGCTCAAACAATATCTCAGCTACAGACCCAAATCTCAAATGAGTTGAAAAGGAGGTGCTGTGGATGCATTCCCGTGTCCTTGCCAGCTGTGCTCGAGTGCCTGACCACTGAGATCCTGGAACTAGCAGGAGACACGGCTCGTGACAGCAGACGGACCGGGATCGTCCCTCGACACCTGCAGCCAGCTGTCAGCGGTAATGAGCTCGGCAGGCTGCTGGGAGGAGTGGCCATTGCTCAGGAAGGAGTTTTGCTCAGCCTTCAGGTGGTCATGCAGCCCGGGGGAACCAGAGGCCAGCAGAGTCCGGGTGGACAGATTGGATGGTATCTGCGGCCATTTCTTTGGATCCACAGTAGGACAGACCTTTACAAGAGATCTTTCCTGCCTGCAGCCATCAGTTTCTATAACATCTCTTCATGAAATGAGAATAACGAGTTACAACAACATTTAATTTCCCTTTGGGATTAATAAAGTATTTTTGAATTTAATTGAAATTTTTTTAATTGATTTAACGCAGCCACTTCTTGAAACTTTAACGCAGACCAACGTGGGATTTATTTTGTAACAATCTGAGCTGACTGAAGGTTGTTTTGGTGTCTAAACTGCAGAAGAAGTGCTCCCAGTGACTTTTAAAGGTCACCATGGTAACTACACAACTGTGTCTCACTCTCTGATAGCAATCTAAAAAGAGGCAGACAGAAACACAGAGTAGAAAGTAAGCCTCAGACAAGCAGACATTGTTCAGAAACTGCAGGTCTCAAGAAAATAATTTCCTGAACCTGCGAGTCAGAACCGACTTGTCATTGGCAAGTGGGGGGACACGATGGTTGGGGGGGGGGGGGGGGGGTCCCCCAGAAAATTTTGAATAAAGTAGATGCCACTTCCTGCTTTCTGGTGTATTTTAACAGGTTGTTAAAAATCTATGTTTACTTACATAAGTAAACATTTGAGTCAATAACTATTTTAGAGAGCAACAAGAAGTAGCCTGACCAACAGCTCTCCTTGTGTGAATAAAACGCACTCCGCTTCTCTCACACATCCTAACACCCCTACCCCACCCTGGCCAACAACTGCCAGCACTAACGTAGCGCTAAGCTAGCACACAACACAGAGGCGTGCCCCCTCTTACAACCACCCCGTCGACAAAAAACCCAGAAGAGATGAGCGCCCTGCCAACACAAGTGACCTCCTCGGAGAAACACTGCATGAGGTGTGGTGAGTTGTTGTAGGTCACCAGGAAAACCCGGAGTGGACATTTAGTCGTTTGAGCATTCTCCTATTATTGAAGAGGAATGCAATCGTTCACATAGAAACAGAAACAACACTAGATGAACAAATATTTCATGGTAAATGTGTGTGTGTGTGTGTGTGTGTGTGTGTGTGTGTGTGTGTGTGTGTGTGTGTGTGTGGGGTCCAAATGAATATTTTTTAAATGTGGGGGGCATGACCCCTTCACATACAATTGATGCGATGCCTATGCAGCTGGTCGTTACTCATGTCTAGTTGCACGTGTCTAGAGAGGGTTTTGCAAGCGAGATGGCAAGGTAAAGCAACCACTGACATCCAATTTTGAAGAAAAAAGTTTGAGCTCAAATACGACGGAAGTCAATGAGAGTTTGAATGTTTGCACTCTTCACTTTGAAGGGATGGGAGAGAAAACGTTAAGCAAGCAGTGATAGACACACACTGGCCAAATATACATACATTTAGATGTATAAAGTAAAGTTTATTGAAATACGAGTTTTTAGCATAACTTTTGAAATGTTTTCACAGCTCAAAGGTTAGTGACCTCGCTCCAAGTTAAACAGTTCGTGGTAAAATCTCCAAAAGTCTTGGAGGTTAAAACTGTGATTGTTTAAAAAACATTAAAGATATTTTAACGTCTGCTCAGACTTGTAAAATCCAACTTTCTATGACCTGTTGAAACCCTGAATGATGTTTTGGTTTTGTTTTTTACAGTGGAATGTGTCTGTGTTACAGAGGGGGCTGCATTTAAACTATTTTCATAAATCCCATTGTGTATGTGAATTTTGTGTACACCAAACTATTTACTGTCACAGCACACTATTTTCAATGTATTTTTTTATGAGCGTTTCCAAAGATGTGGAAAAGAGTAGCAAACTGAGTCGTGACAGAAACTGAAGAATACCAGTTGCATCAGCGCTTTGTGCATCGACACTTTTAATAAATGTAAATACAACAGCAAAAAAAACTAGATGAAAAAGTGAAGCCTGAACACCCCCCCCACACCTTACATACCCTTGAACACTATGCACATGGGCTTATTTTGTGTCTGAACCTTATCTTGTTCAAGAGAGCTGATTGCTAAGGAACAGGAGGACAAATGCAAGATGCACAAACACTTCACGAGCCGCCTGAACAATACTCACGTTTAAGGAAGCGGTTACGGACCCATTTATTCTGTTTGCGGACGTAACGCTTTGTTGCGATCTTCAAAGCTTCTACACCTGGAGAGGTTTATGAAGTGAAAAAGAAGCAAACATGAAGCAGAGACAGATGAGAAGAAACTAGGGATGCACGATATTGGATTTTTGGCTGATATCTGATATGTTAAAACTTATTTGGCCAATAACCAATAACCGATACCAATACTGATATTTCCCCCCCCCCCTAGACCTACTTACAAAGACTACATAGCTTTCTCTGATGTGGAGTTAAAATACTACATTATCCTGCATGGTCTTTGTCAATTTGACCTGCTACCAAATGCAGATGCCAAAAAGGGGGTCTGAAAATGATGCAACACTAAAACTTGATTATGTTTAATATTCATGACATTTACTCTAACACAATGACAACATTCGAACAGGGCAAATTTATACATTTTCACAAACCTAAACTCAACGGTGTGTGTGATGTCACAATGTCATAACATAATTAGTAATTATCTGATAAATTAACTAATTATTAATTAGTCCACGGATTTAGTTATGAGTCGGCAGGAGTTTCTCTGACCTTGGAGTCTCAGTCTGTCTTTCTCCTGTGGGCTGCTGCCTTCAGGAGCAGTCAGGTAGTCGTGAAACTCCTTAAACCCGATTGACTGGAAAATCCCATGTTGGTAGTTTTGACTGTGGAGAGGAGGAGAAATGTTATCCATCAAAATAAAAAGTTTCTGCCTCCGATGTGACATTTATAGACGCACAGCAGAGACTCACTTCACCTTTTCCTCCACCATCACTCCTCTGTCCCCACATGCAGATATGAAATCATTTGAAGGACAAAGTCACTCAAGTGAAGAAAGGGCAAACAAGCCAGAATGGTGCCAAACACGAGAACCCACAGGGGTCCTGACTCTGACTGTAAGTTTAGCACTGAAGTTTAAATAGTGATGTTACCATCAGCAGTTAACAGATTCTGGTGTTACCTCAAACATTAATCGCCTGAAGTCAGAGGAGATGCCTCTTTTCCCCATAAATAGTTCAAAAACCTCTTTGTTTAATTGCCTTTTCTACATTATTGCTGCAGGGGTTATTTCTAACTAGAGAAATGGCAGTGTGGATGCTTTAGATGTGTATTATGGAAAACCTGAAGCCAGCAGTGAAAAGAAAAGTGATTAGAGAAGGTCCTCGCAATTAATGCTGTAAATGAGAAAGTTGACTTTCAAAACACTCCTCTATCAGAAATTCTTCATTCAAGAAGAGGAATAACTACGCACTACAAGCATAGTCTGTTTTAGGTCTCCAATATACTCACTTGTAAGAGAAACAAGAAGAGGAAATAAATAAAACTGGCCAGACGGGCAGAGACAGAAACTTGAGAATAGCATCAGTGCAACGGAAATGTAGAGTCAATGGAGGGAGGGACAGAAAGATGGAGGGAGGGAGAGATCTGACCTTGATGTCTGGTCACCACAGCCAGCCGGAGGATGGAGACATGGGGGGGGGGGGGGGGGGGTGGGTGGGGGGGGGGGAGCGCATGGATGATCAGATTGCTGAAAAGGCAGAGGAGGAAGAGGAGTGGGAGGTGAACGGAGGGGGAAAATGAAAAGAAGGGCAGCAGCAGCTTCCACTCCCTGCAGCCACGCCCATTCAGACACAAACACACAATCTATACTCACAAAATATTTAAAACACTCGTATTGTAAATGTACAGTAGTCCCTTATTTGTCGCTGGGGTATGGGACCACGGCCCCCTGTGATAAGTGAAAAACCGTGAAGTATGGATACAGTAGTTCAAGTTCAAGTCAACTTTATTGTCATTACGATCTCATGTGGTACACGACGAAACAAAATTATGTACACAAGTAGTAGTAGTAGTTTATTTTAGTATTTATATACAGGTGTCTATATAAAGGCGTTTTAAACCCTTCCCACACTCTTGCAATATTCTAAACAATGTTTCTAAACTCTAAACGCTCTAAGAGAGCACAGCATGTCATGATCTCCGCTCTCTGCCACCCCACTTCTCGCTGCAATCACACTTGTGCTCATCACTCTCAATCTCCCTCCTTCTGTGTAAATAAACAATTTAAATACTGCAATATTTTAAATAACAATCCATGCTGCATGAGCAGCTGTATTTTAAATAACAATCCATGCTGCATGAGCAGCTGTATTTTAAATAATCAAGCGCGACTGGAACCGAGCCTTTAGGCGAACGGCCAGGCCACCGGGAAATATTCTGATGCTCCGAATGGACAGTTGGCCCCCAACCTGCTGCAGCAGGTGCTAAATCGTTTACAATAATTTATTGTAAATAAACAATCCATGCCGCTCATCCATCAATCAGCCGATTGTGTGTAACATCTAATCTTACTTTGAAAAACCACGAAACAGCGAGTCCACAAAGTAGCGAGGGACTACTGTATTCAAACTAAACTCGCTTCATATAAAACTGAATTTTTAAACCTGTGGCAAGAAATGAATGTGAAACCAGACTGAACTTCTTAACCGTGTCTTGTATCTGAAAATAAATGGAAGAGTTTCAGGACAAAAACGCTGGAATTGGAACAAAAAGGCTGATATTCTGATTTCGAGTCAGTTCCCTCTCGTGTTGCACCATATGCTGAGTAGGAAGCTGCTGCTCCATTTAAAAGCATCCTGGTGGAGAAGCAGACATGTCCCCTCTGCCAGAAGAAAGCACTCGCTGCTCGAAGTATAAATACCTCTCGCTGGATCAATTTCTGAGTGCTGGCGAGTAAGAAAGTCAATCTTGACATTTTCCCGCCCGCCTTTGTGAAGGAGTTCAAAGACAACTCCTGTGATCCTTCACGACGCACATCTTCTGTTACAATGATGCTACTTAACATGGAGTCAGGAAAAACTGACATGTTTTTATCAAATGCTGAATCAATTCAAGACTGAGTGATGCTTGGACAAATGCACGTCGCCCGCCACCTCTCATGGGTTTTAAAAAAGAAGTATGATGAGGAGAAAGGAAGTTATAGTCGTCACACCTTAAAATAACTGTTACAGACAAGTCTCAGCTACTACCACACCTAATTTTAGGCTGGTACTTGTAACTTTGACTGAGTTATGGGCTTATTGTGTTTGTTAAAGTCGATTAGCTGTGGCGGCCATATTAAATTGGATCGGCACCTAAAGTTAAAGAGTTGTGGACATACATTCAATGATTACTTTATGAGAGTTTTCTTTAAATCAATCCAGCTGTTCAATAGATATTTTGCTAACAGACATAAGAGTTTAGAGTACCTTAACAGTTAAAGGCAGAGTTTCAAAAACAGATCTGGCTTAATCTGTTAATGCTCAGAATATGTGATGGGAATGACTCCTGGCTACTACAAGACTTTATGTCTGTAAATCTGCAAAATTGTTAGTTATTAATGTTTAATTTTGGTTTTGAACTTGATCCAAGCCGTCACCGATGGCTACAGCCAACATAAAAAAACAACAACTTTCTTCTTCAGATAGATTTACTGGAAGGATCATTTAATTTAGGCAAACAAATCCAAATTATCCGTTGTGATTCTGATCAAAAATTATTCTGTATCTTGCACAAATGAGTCCAACAAGAACTTTAGAGGTGACGCAATCCTAATATGAGAAATTGCCTTTCCAGCTAAAATCCAGCGTGAATCCTTATTGCTGAACGGGTTTTGCACAAAGCTGCTGAAGAAGCTGAAACCAGCTGAAAAGGCTTCACTGTTAAACTGTTAATGTGAGTTGAATTTGAATGGCTGACATTTCAAGGATTCAAGGTTCTTTATTTGTCATTCGCACCTCATGTGGTACATGTGGTGGAACAAAATTATGTACACAGGGTCCCAGTTACATCCAACAATAAAATGTAAAAGAAAAACAGTAATAACATCTAAGATATGAACTAAGAAAAACATCAATTAAATATACACTAAGCACTCATAACATAAAACATTACGTCGAACAGCAGCACGAACATGAGTCTGTGTGAGCAGATGAGCACGAATGAACACATCAACATTTAAAGAGATCAGCAGCAGCATGAAACAGATCAGCAACAACATGAAACAGATCAGCAGCAACATGAAACAGATCAGCAGCAGCATGAAACAGATCAGCA